CATTGACTGTTGTGCAGGAACTGTGAAAGAACTTACATAAAGTCATGAGGATTAGTGGAAAATCCCATTAGTTTAGGCGTTCTCACTTGATGTATTCATGTCCTGCATGATACAAGTCTTGCATGTTGCCAGTGGTTGAACAACCTCCTCCTGCACTTCAGCAGAGGGCACTTCACCTCCTTGATCCTCAGGGTGTAGATGAATGGGTTTAGCGTTGGGGTGACCACGGTGTAAAAGACGGATCATCTCAGTGCTGTGCGTGTCAGAGCACACGAGCTTTAGCACAGGAACATCGTCACAGAAGAAGTGGTCAATGTGGTTGGGACCACAGAAAGAACCTCCAACCACGCACCATGTGCAGATGATGGCACCGAGAAAGGCAAATAGGTAGGATGATGCTACCAGCTGCCAGCAGACGCCTCTGGAGATGAAGGTCACATAAAGCAGGGGGTGGCAGATAGCAATGTGCCAGTCGTAGGCCATCATGGCCAGCAGGTGACACTCAATGGCAGCAAAGAATGCAAAGGTGAGGAACTGCATCATGCAGGCAGTGAAAGAAATGGTTTTGTCCTCTGATAACAGGTCTGCCATCATCCTGGGGCAGATGACTGTAGAACAGCAGATGTCAGTGAAGGCAAAATGGGAGAGGAAGAAGTATATGGGGGTATGGAGGCTGGGAGACACCCGAACCAAGATGATAATGCCAAAGTTCCCCTCCAAAGCGACAACGTAAATCAGGAGAAACAAGACAAAAGGAGGGGTCTGCGCACATGGTCTGTCTGTAATTCCCAAGAAGACAAATTTAGTCTGCGTGTGATTTCCTCTCATGACCAGGTGTTACCTACCAAGGCAAAAGGAAGGAAAACATCAAAATCATTGCAAACAGAAATTCACTTTTGGACCATACTTAACTACAATCGATCACCAGTTTAACAGCCATGCTTTGGCATTTTGGTGTTTTGTATTGTATTTTGTAAACCCAAATTATATGATTTTGTTCTTCATTTGAGGTACTTAGAAAAAAACAGAGAGTGCGATGAAGCAAAAAATGCCATTTTTGTTCTTCTATGCTGAGAAACATAAACTATGGATTTATTCAAGCACCTGATTTTTCAGGTTTGAGTGAAGAATCAGATCTTTATTCACTTTCAGATTGGAGGCAGTTTGTGTCAGAAGACAGCTTAGAGGAAACTCATAGGAGCTCAAGTAAACCTTGAGCAAGAGAAAGTCACATTCCCATTGAAATTGTAGCTTACACATTAATGACCTCCAGATATTTTCCCTTGGCTTTTAATTCTAATGCCAGTCTTAAAATCGCATATATCGAAGTGTTATCTATAATTCAAAAAGGATAAAATTCACATCGCTAAAGTCATGATTTCTACCTTTCTGAGTTCCAGCATGCTGAAGCACCCTCAACCTATGGGCATTATGTTGCTTGCCTTAGAAAAGAGTTGGTGTTATAAGAGGCTGAATCCAAAGGCTGATTTGTTAGTGACCATATTCTGTTGACAACCTGAAATGCTGCATTTCTTTATGACAAAATAAGATTCATCCTCATTTAACTCTTGAGTAATTCAGTTCATCTTGCTTTAGCTGCCTATGTAAAAGAAAACAACCTGCATAAGCCAATGCTCCCTCTTATTATAAAGAAAACCCGCATTGGTAAGGCTGTTTTCCAATGCAGCTTTCCCAAAGGCAACCCAAGGACATGCAGAAGCAAGCCCACTGCCTCAATGCAGGTGAGACTCTGCTTTGTGTTGGTGTTACATCCTGTGACTTCCTTCTGCCACCGAGTAATGGGAGCCACAGGTTAGTCCCCAACGCAGCAGAGAACGCCTACGTGCCGGCATCAGCTCTGTTAAGCACCTGATGTGAAGAGAGGTGAGCTCCTGCCAGACTCCAAGAGCCCAGCTTGTGGTGCTGGGGCTGTAAATACAGTTGCATGTGCTCTGCTGGGAGGAAGCCTCCAGGGCTGCTCATGATTTACCAGAGGAAAACAAAACAAAGGGTGTGAAATCACCTCTGAAAGGCATTGTGGTGCTTGGGCATCTGAGAGACATGGCGTGGATGAGCCAAACCGGAGCACAGCTACACAGCAGCAGCAGTGATGAGCAGCTCATAGGATGCTTCTGACATACTTATGGACTATGCCAAACTTTCTGTCTGTCATTGGCAACAGAATGAAAATGGTTTAGAGCCATTTCTGATCTTGCACAGGATCCCCAAATGGGACAGGAAGCACAAGTGACTCCTTCTCTGGAGCTGCTGATGTTCCTCCTTGGACACTGGCAAGCCCAGTTTTCCATCCCCAGTGGGCTTATCCACTTGTAGAGCCTGGATGGCCAACAGCTGAGCTGATGCTTTGGGGCTTCCACTCTATTGAAGGATGAGAAATGGGTATTTGAGGCAAGGATGAATTGTCCCAGGGTGAACTAATAGGCCTTTATCCCCCTGAGCAGCCACAGCTGGGGCTCCGTCCCCACCCTCCACCCATTTGCCCACCATCTCTATTTTAACTCAGCCCAGGGAAGTTGGGTTATGTTTGAGTTTTTGTTTCCATTTTAGCAGGAGTTGTGCACATCTATGGAATCCTTTGATGGTGACCAAAGCTTGCTCATGTATCTTCCTAGCAATTGCTGGACCTCACCCTGTTCAGGGGATTGACTTGGCTTGATCTGACATTCTTTGGCTTAGTCCTGGACCTGTGTCTTCCGTATCATCACCAACCTGCCTGATGATTGGAGTCTTGGCTGAACTTGGCCCAGGTCTCTGTTCCTGTCCTACTTCTCTGGCTCAGGTACTGTGGGATGCTCGCTGTGCACCACGGTGTTCCTTTTTGGCTCTACTTAAAGAGATTAAAGAAAGACACTCCTGTGGCATTCCTCATGCTCCTGCAGAGCAGAACCCAGCACACTGCTCTCAACAGCTCGGCCAGGGCTCACTGTTCTGGCATTCCCTCTCTCTCTAGATTATGTACTTAAATGGGCAAATTTGGAGCTATTCTTCTGTGTTAGGGAAGTTGAGTAATCAAGTTCATATATTATTCTCTTGTCCTTGGTGCTTTCTCCTTTACCAAGTGTGATGTGAGACTTTTATGGAGAGGACCACTTTTATGTATGTGGTGTGGGAAGTTTGTGTCCACCCCCGGGAATCTCTGCATTTTGTAGATCATTTCTCTGCAAAGATTGAAGCAGAATCATGCAATGATTGTCTCGGTGTAAAATGTATTTCCAAAACCTCCAGCCTGTTTCTTGTGTTGCTGGAATTCAGAGTTCTGCCTCCCCTGTACATTAGACTTAGGTTCCTATTGCCAGTTCACTGAGTTGGATCCACCGCACACAAGACTATGGCAAACCAGAGCTCTCTCAGGAGCATGGCATCAAGTGTGGGTAAACCTTTGAGCATTTCAGTTGTCTCTGCTTTGGAAAATTTGTTAAACCGAACAGGAAATAAGGACACCAGAGTGGGGTAATTCATCAAGCAGTGGTGAGCCCTACACATCACGCTTCTCATCTAGACTCCCTTTCCCACAAAAGCTTGAACCAGATGATCTTTTGAGGTCCAGCTTGGGCTTTCTGTGCCTCTATGATTTTATGTGTACAGTGTAAGCAAAGACATCCAACTAACTAGAAGGAGGAAAAGAAGTTATGGTGAAGGTTTTCAAGGAAGCTCTTTGATATTAAAAGTCTCTGACACCTTAAGTTCTTCAGCATTTAATCGCATTTCTGCTGTCTCCATCAGTGGACACAGGTAGAAACCACTTTTCCCTGAGACCTCAGACAGCATCTCCTCTCTTGCTGTGGTTTGGCAGAGCAAACAAAAGAGACTGTTCACCATCCATACACTTATCAAATACAAGTTAATTCCCACTCAACAGGTAAAGGAAAGCTGTTATCCCCCATCTGTGTGTTTTGGCTTTTCTCAGACCCAGACAGTTCTCAGTTACCAGGAATTCTGTGCTCAAGATTGCCTTTCATCTATGGAAACAAGCCGCAGGTTTCATTTGTCAGTAAAATACACCATTTGTGTTCCGTGGTGTACTTTATCATGAGCTGGGCATGGACATGGGATGTGGGTACTTATCTCCAGCTGGAATTCCATTTATCTCACCATTTAAGTATAGGGCACTTAAGATGAATTGAAGGACTCCCTGATGTGCCCAGAATGTCCTTAACACTGGGTGGTCTCAGAACAGTTCACTCTTTATTATATATTATATTAACATTAATGAAACATAGTAATTAATTATATTGACATTGGTTACAATGTATTAATTAAATCTACAATTTCTTCCTTTATAGAATCATAAAATAATTAGGGTTGGAAAGGACCTTAAGATCATCTAGTTCCAACCCCCCTGCCGTGGGCAGGGACACCTTACACTAAATCAGATCACCCAAGACCTCATCTCTTGTGAAGCTGCAGCCTGGGGAGGGATTCCTCTTCATATTCAAAGATGCAGCTTGAGACCTTGATTCCCACCAGCTTCTTCTCTTTGAAAGGCACAAACAAATGCAATGAATCTTTTGTAACCTTTTCTCTGACTCTTTTTCAGCAAGCAAATGTAAAACTACACTTCCTCTTCCCTCCCACCCCAGCAGCTTTAATAAAGAGCTCACAGGTAAGAGTGAGGAATTTTATTAGAGCTGAAGGACAAGGTCAAAAATCTTGCAAAAAAAAAAAAAAAAGATATTATCAGTGACAAAAGTTATAACCAAGTAAAGCTGATTGGTATTTCCTGTGAGAAGAGGCCTGGAATAATTGAGGGTAAATTCTTCCTAGAGGAGGATAACAGCAAAATGTAATGAAGTTTGAGGTTGCTGTTCCTCTTGGGTTCCTTCCAATGCAGATGTGATTTGGGGGAGTCTCTTTCTCATCCAATACTGTCATTGGCTTTTGTGCAGGAACAGTGTAAGAACCTACATAAAGTCATGAGGATTAGTGGGAAATCCCATTGTTTCAGTGCCCCATAAGCTTTCTCACTTGACATGAAATCTTCATGTCCTGGATAATACAACTCTTCTGTGTTGCCAGTGGTTGAAGAACCTTCTCCTGCACTTGATCAGAGCCTCCTTCACCTCCTTATTCCTCAGGCTGTAGATAAATGGGTTAAGCATGGGGTTGACCACAGCATAGAGGATGGAAGCCACCTTATCCAGGCTCCTGTGGCTAGATGGAGGTTGTAGGTACATGAAGAATGCTGACCCATATAACAAGGCAACAGCCATCAAATGGGAGGTGCAGGTATGGAAGGCTCTGGCCCTGCTCTGTGCTGAGCACACCCTCAGCACGTTGCGGATGATAGAGATGTAGGAGAGCAAAATGATAACGCTCGTACCCACTACGTTGATGGTGACGAAGGCAAAGATGACCATCTCACTGCTGTGTGTGTCAGAGCACACGAGCTTTAGCACAGGAACAACGTCACAGAAGAAGTGGTCAATGCGGTTGGGACCACAGAAGGAACCTCCAAACGTGCACCATGTGCAGATGATGGCACTGAGGAAGGCAAATGCATAGGATGATGCTACCAGCTGCCAGCAGACGCGTCTGGAGATGATGGTCACGTAAAGCAGGGGCTGGCAGATAGCAACGTGCCGATCGTAGGCCATCGTGGCCAGCAGGTGACACTCAATAACAGCAAAGTGTGTAAAGCTTTGAGACTGCATCATGCAGCCGGTAAAAGAAATGGTTTTGTCCTCTGATAACAGGTCTGCCAGCATCCTGGGGGAGATGACTGTGGAATAGCAGATGTCAGTGAAGGCAAAATGGGAGAGGAAGAAGTACATGGGGGTCTGGAGGCTGGAAGACACCCGAACCAAGATGATAATGCCGAAGTTCCCCACCAAAATGACAATGTAATTCAGCAGAAACAACACGAACAGAGGGATCTGAGCACCCGGGCTGTCTGTAATTCCTGAAAGGATGAATTTAATCTGGGTTTGATTTCCTCCCATGATCTGGTGTTACCTGCTGAGGCAAAAGGAAGAGAAACATTTTTTTAAAAACGGAGATTCATTTTTGGACCATGTTTAACTACAGTCAATCACCACTGTAAGTGCCACATTTTGGTTGAATTCATATACTGTACTATATTTTTAACCCAAAATCGTATGGTTTTTGGTTTTCAGTTAGTGTATTTATAAGAGAACAGGAAGCACACTGAAGTAACAAATGGCATTTTTGGTTTTCTATGCTCTAACACTTAAAACGATGGATTTATTTAGGCACTTTTGGACCATATTTTAATCCAAACAATGACCAGTTTAACTGCCACATTACTGTATATTCTACTATATTAACTAACCCAAATTATATATATTTTATGTTATTCAACTGAGGTATCTTGAAAAGAACATGGACCGCATTCAAGGCACAAATGCTATTTTCAGTGCTAGGACTCTTAAAACTATGAATTTATTCAAGCACATGTGTTTTCAGATTAAAGAAAAGAATCAGATCTTTCTTCACTTTCACTTTTCAGTATTCAGAGTTAATTTGGTCAGAAGACACCTGAAAACCTCATAGTAGCGCATGTGATCCAGGGGGAAAGAAAGTCCCAGTCCTAGTGAAATCCATCTTACACATGAATAAACTGCACACATTTTCCCTTGGCTTTTAGTTATCATTCCAGTCACCAAATCACATTTATTAAACTATTTGAGATTATTCGTAACAGATAAAATTCACATGATTTATACCTTTCTGAGCTCCAGCACACTGAAGCATCCTAAACCTATGAGCATTAAGCTGCTCGCATTGAAAAGGAGTTGATGTTACAATGTACTTATTTGTTAGTGACTATATTCTGCTGACAATCTGCAATGTTGCATTTCTTTATAACAAAATAAGATTCATCCTCATTTAACTCTTGAATAAATTGGTGCATGTTTCTTTTGCTGCATATGTGAAAGAAAACAACCTGCATTCACCATTGCTCCCTCTAATTATAAAGAAAAAACACACTGGTAAGGTTGATTTCTGATGTAGCTTTCCCAAAGAGGACATGAGGACATGAAGAAGAAATACCACTGCTTCAATGAAGGTGAGGCTCTGCTTTGTGTTGGCATTACCTCCTGTGACTTCCTTCTGCCACCGAGTGATGGGAGCCACGGGTTAATCCCCAATGCAGCAGAGAACATCTGTGTGCCAGCATCAGCTCTGTTAAGCACCTGATGTGAGGAGAGGTGAGCTCCTGCCAGACTCCAAGAGCCCAGCTTGTGGTGCTGGGGCTGTAAATACAGTTGCATGTGCTCTGCTGGGAGGAAGCCTCCAGGGCTGCTCATGCTTTACCAGAGGAAAACAAAGAAAAGGAAAAGCAAAGGGTGTGAAATCACCTCTGAAAGGCATTGTGGTGCTTGGGCATCTGAGACATGATGTGGATGAGTCATTCCTGAGCGCAGCTACACAGCAGCAGTGATGAGCAGCTCATAGGATGCTTCTGACATACCTGTGGACCATACAAAGTTTTCAGTTTGACCTTGTCAACAGAATGAGAATGGGTTTAGAGACATTTCAGATCTTGCAGAGGGTCCCTAAATGCAACGTGAAGTACAAGTGACTCCATCTATGGAGCTGCTGCTGCCCCTCTGCACACTTGAGTGCCAAATTTTCCATCCTCTGTGGGATTATCCACATGTACTGCCTGAATGTCCAACACCTGAGCTGGTGCTTTAGGGCTTCCACTGTATTCAAGGGTGAGAAATGGGCATTTGAGGCAGTGATGAATTGTCCCAGGGTGAGCTAATAGGCCTTTATCCCCCTGAGCAGACTCAGCTGGGGCTCCACTCCCACCCTCGGCCCATTTGCCCCCATCTCTGTTTAAGCTCAGCCCAAGGTGGTTGGACTATATTTGAGTTTTTGTTTCCATTTTAGCAGGAGTTGTGCACATCTATGGAATACTTTGAGGGTGATCTGAGGTTTCTTATGGACTTTCCTAGCAATTGCTGGACCTAAACCTGACCAGGGGATTGACTTGACCTGTGTTGGCTTGGTTTTGGACCTGCCTCATAGTCCCTAACTTGCTTGATGCTCTGGAATCTTGGCTGAAATTGGCCTAGGTCTCTGTTCCTGCTCTGTTTCTCTTGCTCAGGTACCGTGGGATGGTCCCTGCACACAGTGGTGTTCTCCTTTGGTTCAATTTTGATAGATTGAAGAGACAAACCCCTATGGCACTCCCCATGTTCCTGCAGAGTAGAACACATTACCCTCTGTCCCCAACAGCCCAGCCGCTGCTCACTGCTCTGGCAGTCCCTCTCCATCCAGACCATATCCCTGCATGGGCGCAATAGGAGATAGTCTATTCAGTGAGGGAATTAGAGTGATCAATTGAACTTTATACTCGAGTGTTATTCTCCAGTCATTAGTATCACCTCCATTTTCCAAATATAATTGTAGAATAATGTTTTTGAGTAGGTGAGTAACACTGTGGTTTGGTAATGGGTTCTCAGTCTTAGTAAAAGCTCATAAAGCTGTCCAGCTTGAGGGTTTCTGTAGTTACAAGGTGCTGAGATGTCATCACTAAGAGATGCTCTTTGTCAATAACCTCACAGCAATTTCTGATTTCAGTGCATTCTGGCTCCCAGAAGACAGCCCATCTCAGGGGTTGAGGCAGTAATAGCTCCAGATGCCTGACTTGTGAAGTCCCTTAGGCAACTTTCCAATTATATTTAAAGGGGGGAGAAAACAAGACTGGCATGGGGTGATGTGCCCAATGAGACTGCTGGCAGCTTATGTCAACCATCTAAGCTGGAAAGCAATAAATAGTGAAGACAGGAGCCTCTGGGAGACACAGCCATACATGGACAGGAACACCATGTAGAACTAAACAGGGAAGGAATGGAGACTTGGAGGATTTCATGGAATGGTGAAGCACGGCCTCATAGAATCACAAAATTTCATCTCTGAAGCTCTGGTATATAAAGCAAGCTGGAAGGTGGAGAAATACTATCAAGACAGAGATGCTTCTGTGTAATAGTCATGCAAATGGGCAAGGAAGATCTGCTTAGAGGCAATGCCGAAGGAATGTAGCAGTGATTGTCACAGGAGCTTAAATTGCCTTTTCTCTTTGCAAACATCTCCTTGCTTAGTGGTAATGGTTATACTGGGACAAATATAAGCATGTACAGAAGAAATGTCTAATATCTTATGTATTTACCCCCTCTCCTGACACAATCCTTTTTGGGGATGTATTTTATCCTATTTAAGAGATCAGCATAGACAATTTCAATAGGATATGCTCTATTTGTCTGTATTGTTGCCTTTCTAGTTCCCCTCAGCAATGACAAGGTGCAGGTTCTGTCTTTGAATGATTTCCTTGGAGAAAGGAACAAGAGGTATGCACGATAATAGCTCAGCCTGAAAGAGGCGGGGTCTTCAACAGGAAACCAGAAGTGGCATCTCAGGTACTGTTCTGGGGGATGGTGGTGGAACTAGTTTTAAACTCCTCTCAAATGTCTGTGTTTGAGACACATGATTATGTTATAAATCCTTTCTAAAAGGAAGTTTTACTTCCTGACCTTAATCTGGCAGGAAATCAGTTGCTTGGAAGTATTTGCTTTTTGCTTAAGATGTAAGTTGAATGATAGAAATTAAGGGGAAAAACACATTTTTAACAAGTCACCAGTGAAGCTGGAAGATACTGGCGAAGCAAAGATAAATGCATATGCCTGTCTCTCTCTTCTAGGTATTTATTCTTATGAGATGAGAGCAGTTATTGAGATGCAGTTTAGCCCCAAAGTAGCCACTAACCTTGTTATTAATCAATTGTTTTTAATGAAAACCAACATATTGCTTTTATTTCTGAGCACTTAGACTAAGGAGCAACAAATTCAGACTCTGAGCTACCTGGGGTAATGAAAAGAGTCTCTGGGACATCTTCAACCTGAAAAGCAGCATGAAAGTTAATATTTCTTTACCCTGTATTATCAGAGCAGTCAATCTGAGCTGCTCTTCCCTTAATGTGGAGAAAACTGCAGGCAGATGGAAACATAATGAAGACCACCATGATGTCCAAGGGAAAACTTCTTTTGTTGGCTTCAGACTTCCTTTGAAATTGGTGTGTGAAGATAGAAGATACATTCAAAGCTTGGTCTAAGAGCCTGAGTGGTAGATGTAGTCAGTGACTCCCTGCATGGGCAGGTGGTTGTGGACCATCTAAGCATCCTGCCAAGGTGCCTGGCTGTGTTTCATTAGAGAATGTCTTCATTATCTAGAGTACAGGCTTAAACCCCACTAATAGTTAAGCAAGGGATTAAGCCATCATAACCAAGCCCACAGAAACCACCCTGCTGCCTGGGAACTGGGAGCCTCTTGGACACTGATGGCCTGGGAAAACTGGACTACGGTGACAGAGTTTGTTTTCAAGGGGTTCACAGATTGCCTCGACTTCCAGGTTACCCTCTTTGTGCTTTTCCTGCTCATTTATGTCACCACTGTGATAGGAAACCCTGGCATCCTTGCTGCAGTCTGGCTCGATTCCCAGCTTCAGAGCCCCATGTACTTCTTCCTCAGCCACTTGTCCTTCTTGGATCTGTGCTACTCCTCCATGGTGACACCCAAAATGCTGCTGAACCTCTTGTCTGAAAGGAAGACTATTTCTTTTGCTGGCTGC